CTAAAGAGGTACTTCAAAATTGGCCTTTTCTGACATAACCGTTAATATAGGTGTGGGATCGTATCCGTAAAAGATGTACATATTGTTGTGGGAAACAGACGCTTCGCTACTCCGATGCAAATACTGGTTCACAGGAACGACGGAAACGTTTCCAGTAATTTGGCTGTTCTCCTTCTGTCCCCAGGCAGTTTTCCAAAGCCCAGTCCAGTTTCAAAAAGTCATACCTTCACTCTGAATAGCACTACCACTTGTTACACCGTGATCCAGAGAATAAAGCAAAGTAAGAATGATTTATTCATTTGATAATAATATAATGTAAAGTGTAGAGTTTTTTTCGTTTAAATCGTATGCGTGTTGTTCAAAACCTGTCCTGACAAATATGTTGATCACATCAGAGGTTAGGGACGTTCGCAAATATTTAATCATCCATCGTTCATACTTCACCGCTGCAAGCTTTTTTTATGATCGTTTTATCTTAAAATCTGAAAACGACATTGGAGGCGGTTTATTTTTGCACAACGCAAACAATATGGTCAGTCAAATAATTACAAGTACTGACGTTTCAGCCTGTGTCTCACTTGCCATCTTCAAACTAAAATGGTTGGTTTAGTATAGGAAGTCTTTTTTGATGTCCGCGGCAGTTCGTTTGATCTGAGCCAGAAGGGTCTTCTTCAGGTGACACAAAATCTCCTGTTTATCAGGTGTGCTTTTCGCCCTGCTTTTAATTTGTTTGCTGTTCTCTGTTGACCTTGGTTTCAGCCTTTTTCGTTATTGACATGGAGTTGAAGGTTACGAACGACTGAAGATGGGAATTCGTTTTTAAGTTTTGCATCGAAGAATCGCATCTTAGCATGGACCTGTCCATCCATCTTAGATGCTTACCTTTTGAAAGACACGATGGACATTGGATGCAAATATAATTATGTTTTTCTTCATGTTGTTTTGACGTTTCGCCTTCGTAAATGGTTGAAGTTGGCGACGTCCTTGTACCCAGCAAGCTAGAGAGGGTGCTGACAGAAACTATCGGGAAATATGTTTTATTGTGCAAGCCGTTTGCTGAGTCATAACGTCTGCTTTCGATAACATTTCGATATGCTTCGACGTTTGCGTTTCATAAGCAGTTAACCTAGTAACTCTATCATCGAAGCATTTTTAAGTAAGAGGTGCACAAACATGCACTGATCGAGATGATGAACGGTGGGAATGATCATAAACCTCGTGATTTTGCGATATCAAGAAATGTGACAATATTGTTAAGTGTGCATGATCACATTATATAAATTATATACCCAATTAAGCAGAAAAATCTGGAAAAGTGATAGAAGATTGTTATTCTTACGGGTGGCTTACGAAAACTTGCACCCTGCTCGTAAACACTCAATACCTGGGCTAATTTTTATGCATGCATTCGCGTTCAGATCGGGACATTTTAGCCTGTATGCGAACAGATTTCTATTCAGGACATAAACCTAATGCAGTATTGCATTCATTTGCTACCAGGAATGAAATGCTTTGCAGCTGAATTCCATCCTAAGCTGTTCTAGACACCTAGAAGCAAGGGGAAATTGCGATTACGTCATATAATTGGTTGGAGCGACAGGAGATTAACAACTGATTTGTGAAAAGCGACAATACTGCGTTCTACTAAAATAGTTTTACTTTAAATAATATTTTCCTGCTTTTTGACAATGATAATGTGGAATTTTTTTGCAAAAAACTTCTCATAAAACCTTTTTATCATGGTGTGTAATGTTTCATATGCAGTTTCTTCTATAATTGCAGTTTTCATGGTCGCTTTTTTGGTAAATATTTATGAAAAGGTGTCAAAGTGTTCTTTTTTAATATCTGGCCAAGATGCAGTATATTTTCAAATCATATCTGTCGCTTTTATCATATCATGGTCAACAAAGGCTAGCAGAGCATAAACAACGGCGTAACCCAGATTTATGATGCTTAACCTTTAATGGCATTTAGGTTTCATCGTAGGCAAATTTTATCTGGATCATCATCACTGTAGCGTGCTTCAGCAATGTTGATAATATAGTGTCGATTTTAGCTCCAGATCCTGTCGTAATGTTTGAACAAACGGCCGTTGAGAACGTCGTTGAAGACAATCGTATATCCAGGCTGAGGAACGACCGTGGATTTTGTAGCACATTCCAACCATCTACAAATACCACTGTCGTAAGTACAGAAGCCATCAAATATATTGAACCGATGAACTACATGTTACAGTATTGACTTCGATGACAATGACTTTAATTAGCGTTAAATGGCAGGACCATGTATGGAATTACTGTATTCTGTTCCGGGCACAGGCGACCTCAGTGGATGAGAAGATTAAGTAAAGGTGGTTCACCTGCTTCAGCCCACGAGCTTCCAGTTTTGCGGCCAAAATATGGTAGACGTCGATAATCAGGCCAGCATGCAACATGGTGGCAAATTTGCTTTTCGAACGGAATATTTATTTTTTTCTGTAATGTAGTATCCAGTGGCTTTTAGTAAAAGTGCCGAAGATTTGCTTAGCAGCGGCCATCAAAACCCGGGGACGTTATGTGAACACGAACTGCTCAGGGTGCTGAACTCAACAAAAATATAGAATGCAGAATGTAGCCTTATTTGTTAATATGACGTTGATAACATCTTCGACCAGAGAAAAATGTTGTATTACAATTACAATATAATAAAAATGGACATATCGTCTATCATCTGTCGATGATAACTGGCAAACAATTAATACGAAAAAAAACCTTCAGGTTCATTGGTGACTGTGAACTGTATTTGTACCCCTCAGTAGTCTCGTGTTAATCCAGCTATTTGATAGCATAAAGCATAGTCATATTTCATAGTGTTACTTTCTCCTGTATGACGCGTCAATCAGTGTTATCAATTTAGGTCATCTGTCTCACAGGTGGAAACAGCAGCTTCTCTGAACGAATGTCTGATAAATTTCCTGGCATGAGATTGCTGATTGTTGCTTGAAACAGTACAACCTTGCCTTTTTGCAGATCCGCTGATGGGAAAACAGACAGATTCCTTATGTTCTTTCAACGTAAATCTTATTTAGGATCCGTACTGAGTTCCTCCTGAACTCGTACAGAATATTAAGCAGTTAGATAAAGGAGATCCTTGATGAAAGACTAGCGTCTCTGTAATATAAACGGATAGCTGCTAGATTGTCTTTGCCGGACCCGCACCTCACTAAGAAGGTACGAAGTTTCGGGGACCTTGCCGAGGTCTCTCGTAAAACTTAGCAACACGTCATTCATGGTATTTCCGTCATCGAGCGTTATACCGGCTTGGAGTTTGCACGAGGTTACAAGCGGTCGCGCCTGCCGTTGGGAAACTGGCACAGACTGCGAAAAGTCAGCGATCAGAACCTGTTTTCGTCTAGTGGCAGCTGGGGGTGGCAGGAGGGGGTAGCAGCACGCCTACCGGTGCCAAAGATCGAAGAATAAGAAGATATCGGTAAGAAGTGGGAAACAGATGAGGCGACAACGAGGTGCCATTGCAAGATATCAGATAAGATTCCGTGGGAAAGATACCGATAGTGGGAGTTTACTGTCGCAAATTGGAACACCTTCTCGCTCAGAGGGAAAGAACAGTAGTTAGTTGATGAGGCCACAAAGTACGGACCTAACTTAGATGAGCTCTCTTCTACGAAACGCCAGGGATCGGAATCCTTCATCTCTGCAGATATTTGCTATTCTGATCAGGGTGTCGCCATCACGCCACTCGTTCAAGCCGGTACTGGTGTCCTGGTAGAACCCGACCTCGCTAACAGAATCAGTGAACGGAAGTCTGGTCTGCCAGTAGAAAAGTGTCGATCATCGGGCTGATGTTACAACAAGCCAAACCTTTCATAATGTTAACGGTTTATGCATCCATTTCGAAGGGAGGATACGAGTACTTGTTGGAGGACACTAATGGTGCTCTGTGCGAAGCACCGACAAGGGAATCAGTTATTCCAGTGAGCGATTTTAGTACGCCTGACGAAGCAGGCGCTGGAAAGTGGAAAGGCGTGATTGAAAGGAACTGCCCTAGCGAACTCAACGATAACGGTAGGAGATTTTTGCAGTTTTATGCAAACAACGGACTGCCTGTTATCAGCACTTTCTTTGAGCATCGAAACGTCTATCATTGTTCACAGAAATCGATGACTGATTTGATAACGTTATCGTCTCAGTGTAATAGATTTTCGCGTTAAGAGAGGCTCAGAGTTGTCAATCGACTGACAGACAGACAGACTCATTTGTTGTTTGATCCGTTAATCTTGTTACTTGGAGATTTGACAGTCAGATTAAACGTGAAACGTAATGGGTGTCCTTTATCCTACGAAGCAATCGAAATAGGCTTCCATCCAGTTTGTGCAAAAGACAAATCGAAGCTCACAACTATAACTGAATCTGACTGTCTGTTCTGTATTATTTATATTGCAGCAGTAATTAAAAGCTACAGATTTTTCTTCTCTCAGAACAATACCCTTTAAAAAGACAAAGAGGGCTATCACTTCTGCCAACCATTACCTCGCTAATTTATTGTTTGCTTTCGCTAGAACGACGATTATTACGAATGTGCTGTACCATATGTTGCTCAAATGCACGATTCTTTACTCGAGGTGCTGACAGATTTATGCATGCATTTAGGGTACCTATCTGGAGAGGGAAAAAGTTGTGTGAACTGTTAATAAAATTTCATAGACTTTTCTTTAGGTAGAAATGGCTGGGCAACCGTTAGTGTGTTCAAGTGAGCAGCAGCCAGGGCAGGTGTTGGTAGGCTTGCTTTCGCCTGAAAGGTGTCGAATAAATGTTGGAAGATCAAGATACTACTCCCGACTATCGCGCTCTGAGAAATGGCTTCGACGGGTTGCAGAGAAATATATAGTTCTGTATCCCGGTTCACATTTCGTTTCTACTAATCCGAACATGGTCATCTCAGCCATTAATGCTTTTGTACAAATCAGAGTATCGTTTTTCACATTTATACATTTACGCATTTTTTAGGATGAATGTCCAACATGCCTCAGAAGCAGCAAAAAATTGCCGAAGAACTTCTGCCCCAGAGACATAGGCTATCAAGTCGCTCACGACGAAATTTTTCTTAAATTGATCATTTCTGAGCAGGTAGCTTTCAGCGCAATACCCATCGAAGTGGAGAAATCACAAGATATTTATTTCCTGACATCGGCAGCAGCCATTCTGGAAGTGTAATAATATTTTGAATTGCTTGAAATTGTTGTTAACAGTGGCGGCTACGGGAAACATGAGTTATCAAGGCAGAATCAAACCCGCGGAAGAGGTGATCTTAATTCTCAACGGGGAATTCCCACGAGCAAGGAATTTATCCCACGTTGTTTTGGTGCAGGCAGTCGAGAAACGGATAACA